GTCACTTTCCTGCATCTACTTTGCTCGCGACATCCTTAAAACTAATCACGACACGTGACAGGAAACCACTAACCATCAGCTTTCAGACAAGTTGTAAATGAGTCATTCCTATTGGTGCATCTAGAAATATCGACCACTTATCAATAACAGAAAAGTATTTTCTTACCTGCTAGTAGCACCAGGGGTAGCACCACACGAAAAAGACACGAGCAAACGAAGGAGTTCACCATGTTGCATAGTAACCTGGAGACGGATTATCTGGAATGAGAGATAAAATAATGAACAGAAATGATAATAAGTATTATTTTATTACAAGTTACAGCTTTTACTTCCTTTACCGTTACAGTGATCGAAACGTCGAAAAACTTTTAACAGAAAATGTTTTAGTTAAAGAATATTATGGATTGTTTTCAACACTTTTAAAATATTTTACGTCAAATTATGAAACTTTGTAAACAATTCCTCGAGATGTGCTCAGGTACATTTCAGTAGTTTACTGCTGTTGTTGTTCTTCACAAGATAAATCAGGTGAGAAATACAGTCTACATCACACCTGAATAAAAGATGACAGGTATAATGGTGGCGATTTTGTTGGAAGAGACTGACATAATTACCCCCCCCCCCCATGATGACTCTCATCAGTTTTACTTGAGAACTTACTGGGATGTATAATAAGTGGTTTGTTTGGTTTGATGTCGGGTAGTTTATTAAAAAAAAACAACACGATATTTGGCTACCCGAGGTTTCCAACCCCCATTATCAACGTTAAACGACCCCAGTAGAATGGCGTGCTATGCTCTGCAGGCACGTGCCAGTTGTACGATTTTTGTGTGGTCGTTAAGCTCAAAGCTATACGATGGGCTGTTTTCCACCGCAGGTATCGAGCCTCAATTTGTCGACATCGTTAACAGCGCTAACATAGGCTATCTTAAGTCGTTCGTGAACCATTAAAATATGCTTGTAATATGCGTTTTATCGTAAAATGTATTTCAAATTGGAACTGTAAAGCGTAATTACCAGTTGTTCAAGTTATACTGAATGGAAATGAATATTTTAAAACTAATGACAATTTACAGTAGGTTTCATACCTGAGCTTATCCACAAACCATGCATGTTTTTATTTTATGTTTGTATTCTCCTGTAAAATAAGTGATTTATACATTCGTATAGTCACCGTCCAGCTGGTAACAAATAAGAAAGTACGCTGTAATAACTAGGTTTGTTACTGCGGTAATAAAAACATCATGCATGTTTTTATTTTATGTTTGTATTCTCCTGTAAAATAAGTGATTTATACATTCGTATAGTCACCGTCCAGCTGGTAACAAATAAGAAAGTACGCTGTAATAACTAGGTTTGTTACTGCGGTAATAAAAACAAACATACTTACGGTTTGATGTTGTCCTGTCACTCAACCAATTCTCTTTACAAACGCGATTTCTATATAGCGTCGATTTGCGACCCTTGCGCTGTAACAACACTTATCACAACGCACGAGCTGCTGCCTACCACCACGAGTCCAATC